CCGATTCTGATTCCGCAGAACTGGGTTGGGTGTGAAAAAGTATTTGTTGTTAACATTCTTTTTTCATTCGGTTTTTCCAGTTACGAGTTTTTTTTTTATAGCTGATCGTTTTGTGTTCATTTTGTTTAGTTGTTTTTTTCGTAACATATTTATTGTCGAGACTACATTGTTCTCTCTACTAAACCTGATTGTTCATACTAACACTTCTACTTCTCTGTATATATTCCGGTTTGTAATATATCTGTGTTATTCCATACCTGTGTTCGAGTCTTCTTTATTGGATCTACCGTGGACTATCACCGTGGTACAAGGAATCGGACCATAACAATTTCAACTAAATCGATTATTGTGACTGCGTTATTGGATAACTCGACAACTGCAGCCGCCTGCCAAGTTAATTAAGAGCAAACAATGATTAGGGCACCTTTTCTAACCCCACCCCTGATTAGGGAAATCAGTGCTATGTCTAAATAGACCTACATTGTCACTGAGCGCCAGGTAGAGACCAAGTACTATTATGTACCTGCCCAGGTCGCCTTAATTCTTTCGCCAATGGACTTGTTGCTTAGATGGAATAGCAAAGAAGGAACGCAGAACTGAACTGCAAACTACCAACACAGAATATTTTGTATAGATTTGTTTAAAGTTTTCACACTTATTGGAATTGCTGATATGGCAAATATTCGCCACGAACACAATGAACAACACTCCTGAGATTTTATTATCACCATTACCTCTCCAGTACTAACAGTACACAGAAGAGTGCAGCGCCTTTCGATGGTAATCACGTGATTTAGCCCGGCAGCTGAAGCGGATTACAGGATGTGGCGCGGATATATATATATATATATATATATATATATATATATATATATATATATATGACATATGAGGATCAAGTAGACCAGTTCCTAGGAACCGACATCTCGACATTACAGAAGATTTAGATTATAGTGTTGAAGGTTTTGTGCAGAACCATCCACACTTTTTGAACAGCCGAATACAGAGTCCTACGGGCCAAAAGCTCCACAAAAGAACCTACACAGTTTTTGAATTTAGATTTTTCCTTCTCCTAGACCAGTTGCTATACAAGGCTATAGAACCCAGTCTGACCTTCTATTTACCCCACACTTGGTGGGAGATGTAGAGTATCAGCACGTATGTAAAGGATGGAAATATATATATATATATATATATATATATATATATATATATATAATTATTTATAAAAAAAAATTGTAACATAAATATGTTATAAAATCAGTACAAAAATTTTTGTAGTGATTTTATAACATATTTATGTTAGGATTTTTTATAAATAATAATTATATCTGCTCTAATTTGTATTGTTGGTTATTGGAATTCATTCCAATTATATACATTAATATATATATATATATAATTATATATATATATATATATATATATATATATATATATATATGTGTGTGTGTGTGTGTGTTTGTGTTGAGGTCATTAACCAGAGACGATATGTGCATGCTTGTATGTGCGTGTTTATTCATATCTATTTGATCATTTCATACATATTTATATATATATTATATATATATATATATATATATATATATATATTTGAATAAAAGACAGACCACGTTAAGATTCCATTTAATAAGCTATTTCACCATAACCCCTTTAACAGGGTTCTGGATCATCAGTCTTTACTTCCAAAAGCTGAAATGAAAAATAAAAGAAATTCACACGTTTTTACGGACCTCATCAAGTATACGCAAAGTTAACGAAGTGAGGAAGTGAGGTGGGAGAGAGGATATGAGTGTGTCATATGTATCATTTTAGTTTCCTATTTTAACCCCAGTGTGTCGGCTGGATGTTGCTCAAATTTAACGCGTCTCGTCTCTAGATAAAGGTGGTTAAGGGGTGAGTGATAAGAACTACATTAAAGGGAGACGTTACAACAACCCCAATAAATTACACGACAGGTTTCATTCAAATTCTTAGACGCCCAAAACTTCGTAGATTGTTTGAAAATTTAGATATTTATAAAACCTTAACCTCCCAAATATGCACGTTAAAGTAACGCGAACTGACAGCGTCTAAGAATTTGAATGAATTTGAACGTGTAACTATATTCATTTTTCAAGCGTAGATTAGATCTGGCACAAGACCGAAATTAGGGGGCATCCAGTGAGATCAAACTCACTACTCAGTCATAACAGTTATAGGCAACCATTACACCGCATCGAGATGCACAAAAAACGTGTCATTATATTGACGCCTTAGTTTCCACCCTTTTACTGTTGAAATAGCAAAAAGCAATCACCACTTCTAGATTCATCGTTTCTTTTCTCGCACTTTACACCTGTTGAACTTTACACCTGTTGAACTCCCTTTTGTTTACTTCCATGATAACTACATTCTTCCCAGATAATTTCAATCTTCAAAAATTTAAATACATTATCTATCGACATCTTCTGTCTTCTTGAATGCCGATCATCTTTTATCCTTTCCTTAATCCTCCCAATTCTCTGTCATCTCTTTGAATATCACTGACAGTAGTCTCTGCGTACTAGTGGCATTCCCGCCTTTCTTGATGTGAAATGATTAAAAAAAATATAACTCAATAATATGTGGTGGTATGTCCGAATATTTTTACTGTATTACATGGAGCAGATGGACTATTTGTGGGATATAACATCAAACATGTGTATCACGGTTTATAGTAAATTCAAGCGAGCTAGTATTTTCTGGACGTTATTCCTGGTTACAGGCGTTCGATTTTCCGTACATGACCTAAGATTTTATTTCCCCTGTTTACTATTTTTCACCAGATACAAATCCAAAGAAACACCAATGATGAAGATTGAATAAATGAGCTTGCTGTAAGTACGTGCAGAGCAAGAGTTGCATATTATGCGCTTATGTAGGACAGATAACAGTTGACTCTCGACTTGAAGAGGTTAAAATTGTAGCGAGTGTCTGGAAATATAATTCTCATTTCAAGGACATGGAAACAGGTGCAAATGCGAAATAATACCCAAGAGCTCGTATGTTAAGGATTATTTCTTAAGATCCTTAAATCAACCACAAAAGCAGACTTCGTTTTCAGAAATCCGGCATCAATATCCTCAAGTCCACGAAGTTTGCACTTTAGCAATGCAAATCGGCCTCTGCTCCCTGCTAAGGGGTATTTCAGATTCGCGGAATCTTGCAAATTCGACCTTCGAGTTGTCATTTCCGACATTTCACATAAGGGATTTGGTGGGGGTGCAAGTTGAAAACAAATGTCATTTTGACTTCTGCTAAACCCACCTGCTTATGTTCGGGGAAAATTACAGATTTTCCTAAGATTTAGGGATGTAATTTGGCCTCTGACCCGCCTTCTAGGTTCTTCAATGTATTTCTTCTACTTGCATTAAATGTTCTTGTACATACTATTCCTTCATTTCTTTTCTCTTTCTAACTCTTATATTTCATCTTTTTCTTTTATTCTTCCTTCTCTGTCGATATTTATTTATTTCACCTTCATAAACAATTTTTTTAACCTTCATCAATAATTCCCTCTCAAGCAACACCTTCATTTTTTTACCTTTTAATGAACACCAATATATTTCATCTTCAGTGCCTGAAAATACTCAAATATTCATTTATTTTCGTTTTTTTTTTTCTCGTCGTTTTTTTTTCTTCCAAAAAGACACGGAAACAGATGCAAATGCTAAATAATCACCAAGAGCTCATATATGTCAAGGATTATTTCTTAAGATCCTTAAATCAACCACAAAAGCAGACTTCGATATCAGAAATCCGGCATCAATGTCGTCAAGTCCACGAAGTTTGCACTTCAGCAATGTAAATCGGCCTATGTTCACTATAAGGGGTATTTCATATTTGCGGAATCTTGCAAACTCGACCTTCGAGTTGTCATTTCCGACATTTCAACTAAGGGAATAGAAGGGGCAACTTGAAAACAAATGTCATTTTGAAATCTGGAAAATCCCAACTGCTTATGTTCGGGGCAAATTACAGACGATCCTAAGATTTAAAGGTGTAATTTGGTTGCTGATCTACTTTCTTAGTTCTTCAATATATTTATTCTTCTTGTATTAGTTTTTTTTTCTTTTTACACTCTGTTCTTCTTTCATTTCTATTCTCTTTCTATGTTCTGGGTGAATAAGCAATCTGAAGGGAACTACTTTCTCATTAAAAGAATTTGAGAGAAACGAGGATAAATCGACTCAATGTACAGGAATTAATGGGTCTCAGCTGTGTAGGTCTGGACGGGTTGAAGCAAGGAATGAACATCTGCTGTGGAAATAGTAATATATTAGTGACAGACTAGCCATGTTCCGTCAGTGGTAAACGGGTGAGAGGGTGAACAACTCTAATTTGCTTTTCATGGTAAATGAATAAGTGAGACAAACGTTAGAAAATGGCAATTCGTAAGTATCCTAGTTATGTAGGTCTAAACCGGTGGAACCAAGAAATATCGTTCACTCGAACATCTCTTATAGAGATAGATTAGCGCGAGCAAAGTTTAATCAGTGGGAAACGGTTTGAAAAGTGAAAAACCTTACTGCCCTTAGCTTAATGAATGAAGAAGCCAAACCAATATTATGGATAACAAATTTATTTATAATTTAATTTGTCGGAAGGATTTTTGTTTGGCAGTTCATAAATATCGCGCTCACTTTATACTTTTTTTTCGTATTAGTTCTGTTTCAAGAACTATTGACATTAGGAAGTTATAGATGAAACCAATCATTTTAAGTCTGAATGTATAAAAAACATATGCATGAATGGGTAGGAAGAGTTACGAAAATATAACTATTCAAGAATCAAGACGCATTTTCAAACTGATGCCCCAGTATATATATATATATATATATATATATATATATATATATATATATATATATATAAATATTTGGTCGTTCTGAAGATAAAAAATATATGTATTTTTTCTAGAATAAATAAAATAAATTCATATTCGTTTTTTACTTTTATTTTACGGCAACATCCCGCTA